AAATATATTATGTTAACCTGACACTCAAAGTGAAGTCCAAAATATTGATTACCAGTAGTAAAGTAGAAATGCTCAGTGATTTTATCACGAAATCTTGTGCAAAACAAAGTTGAGCGCTGTTGTCTATGAGAAAGCAATTACTGGTCTTATCTCGCTACTACAGAACCTCTGGTGAACACGGTTGTGATCTTAATTTAACTTTATAAATAGACAGAATGTGCTTCAATTGCAGAATAGATCAGTACTCAGCACATTGGTAGTGCCAATGTAAGAGTGAATAGAGAGCACTGTTCAATATAATATTCATTGCATTGTAATGCTATAAACTCCAAAATCAATCTCATTATCCAAATCAATTGTTTCTAGCGCTATTTTGTTCAGAATTGAGAGTTTTACAAATCAAACTAAATTTCTATTACAAATAAATGTGTGACACATGCAGCATGGCAGGATGAGGAAGTTCAGAAATCAAATTCTATCAGAAAATAATTCAAAATCATTAATAGACCCTCAAGCGTAAATGGTTACCAAAATCTTATTGAAAATGAGAGAGTCTTATCACAGAACAGTTGTCATGGTGATGGAAGATAATGAAGCACTATTTGAGGAGCAAGAACAAGTCTCGTCTCTCACTCACTCACTCTCTCACTCACTCTCTCACTCTCTCACTCTCTCACTCACTCACTCACTCACTCACTCGCACTCTCTCTTTTCACATTTTCATTTTCACATTTTTCAATGATTTCTTTAATAATTTTGTTCCAAAGGGACATAATTTTCTAATACCCACAAAATGATCAAAAGGTCTCCCAAAAAAAAATATGCAGGTATAATGTTGTTAAAAGTCATTAAAGTTGACCTTCGCATTCTACGGGTTATGGGTCAAAGGTTAATTAGTGCATGTCGCTCCTAGTACAAGCAGTTACTAAAACTTATAAATGAACGAATAGCTAATTTCAAACAGTGAATACAGAACATTGCAGATTATGCTCAGAAATGATTTATTTGTATAACACACAAGTCTTTCAATGGCTCCAGCATGAAATATCTACCTAGAGAATTTTGAGCTTAGCCTTCACAATGGCTGCTATATCTGAGCATCATTCAAAATGGCGTAGGTGAAAGACTCAACTCAAAAGGACTTGCTGTCATGGGAGATATACATTGTGTGGCCCAGTGAAAAATGTCAATTTTAATATTTCCATGATGTCCTGAATAACAATGACTGTATACTGTATTTACCTGCATTGGTTTTGGTGGCATTTTGGCAATAAGTCTCTTGATATTTCGATACCTGTCATATAGCGGCCTCATTAAATCTTTTTCACCTTTCGTTGACTGAAAAAGAATATGCATAATTATTACAGTGGCTCTGGGAATGATTCAGTCAGTCAGATAGCAAGATGACTTGCAAAACTTTGCAAAACACTGAATTGCTGTAGATACAATAAAACAAAATTTAAAAGATTTTTTTTTTTTGAAATTTGGGGATGATTCAGTTTCATTACCACCACCATACCCTATGAGCTTAAAGGTATCATGATGTGATATTGTTCATAAAATATGTTCCACAATCGGTCAAATGACTGAACACGATGTGTATACAGTCACAAAACTGACAGATAGAATCTGGAGAATTCCACATAATATACAAGTTACATTGAATCATTTTTAATCATGGTGAACTGAATGTACTTACTGGCCTTCCATGAATATTTTCAAATGTTAGGAGCACTTTCTGTACGGCTAATTTCTCATCAGCAATCTGTTCCCGTGTCATTAACTGAAAACCAAGATGAGGGTCTGTATGTTAGATCATCAGATCTCGTATAAAGCATTTGGACAGAGAGCAGAGCACTAAATCATGCTACCAAGACTACACAATCAAACCAAATGCTTTGAATGACATTCTTGATTCACATCTATGTAATTTTGACATTAAAGAAGCATATGTAGTCATATAGAAAAGTTGTATAATGGGGGAGAATAGCGCAACTGAAAGAAATATATAGATTTAAAATATTAACCAAAAATAGAACTAATAGTATACAAACAAATTGAACATGATTCTACTCGCAATATTATTGTAACAAAAATATCTACCGGAAAGCAATTTGGTTTATGGTTATATTTACAGTCATAATTGACATGACATACATAAGAGTCAATCACATATCACCAACTATTTCTACACGGCCCTCGAAAAAGCTAAATAAACAAACTTACATAAATATTTTCCGGTCTATTTCCATCTTTTCGTTTCTCCTCCAGCCTATTTAATCCAGTGTGTAACGTCTCCTCCATGGTTGGCTTGCTATCAAAATGATTGTGTTCGATGGGATCACGTGTATTACTAACAGTTGGCAATGATTCATTAAGGCGATTTCCACTTCCTGATCCTTTTTCCTTTAGATCTAAAATTACAAAGACAAAAATGTCATTTGATTTCCTCTCCCGCAAAGAAAATGAAGTATGAGTTAGGATTTACTACTACCCATCTTGATATGAAACAATGTCTGAAGATTCAGAATACTTATTTCTCTCATGACAAAATTTCACCTTTCACGTTTTCTCTACTGTCGTAAATATTCCTCCAAAACCACACTCATTTCATTTATAAAAGAAATTATAGAAAAAAAAACAAATGTTCGAAGTGCTGCAACAAGCAGGAAAAAATACGACTTTAAAGGTAATCTGATTATCATTCAAAATCTTTGATTAAAATAATTTGGTCAGTAATAATAAACATTGAATTTC